TTTCTCGTAGTAAATATTCTCCACACATTTCTCTATCGATCTAGGCAAGAACCAAGCTTTTGTGATGAATGGAGGATGGACAGGAATCTTTTTAATAATAACCCCGTGCTCAAAAATTTAACAACATTTTTTTAAGTAATTAATTTTTTTCTCAGCCAAATAACGTCAGTAAGCCGAAAAAACTTCAGGACATATACTTCGAAGTGTCCTCTACAAACTGGGAACGCTAGAGAAAAATCTAAATGGGGGGACCTTCCCCCCTTAAATTAAACCTGAAAGAATTCTATCTTCCAATCCTACAAGAATTCGATCAAAATCGATCTTGTATAAAGAGTGTCCTACAAGCTCTGGAACAATGTCTAAATTCATGGTTCTTGCATACAATATGAGCAGATCTTTTGAAACTTACGCAGGTTGTTGTATTAGCATACATACATATTAAATAACTACAAAGTTTGGAACTTATGGTATACTCTTTATAAGCATGTTATTAGAACAAGAAGCAAAAGAAGATACATTCAAAAAAAAATACCACTTAGGATCAAATTAAGTCGTATTAATGTGCTGCTTTATTCTGTGAAAATAAGACACATTAATACGACTTAATTTGATCCTAAGTCGCATTTTTTTTTTAGAGTGTGTGTTTGAATTTGCTTCTTTTTTTGGTCCTTCTTTCTGTAGAAAAACAGAATAGGAACCTAATAATTTAGAAGATATCTCTTTTTGTGTACAGACATTGCCCATATCGGAGTTGAACAGAACAAGGCAGATTTAAGTCTTTGCCAAAGGATGGAAACAACAAAAGAAGACACTTGTCGCATATGACATCGAAAAAATGACACGTACGAAAAGAAATATCTTACTTATTAGGTTCCTGATGCAACAGACGAGAAGTAAAATATTAATAGAGATATGACTTCGGAGGCGTAGCCCTATTTTGCAGTGTAGACTAGAGCTAGGCTAGAGACACGGCTTTGTTTAAACAAAAAATTAGGAAAGAATGTTCAGTACCAGCGGACAGTTTTAGATCAGCATCTGCAAAGGCTGGATGGAGAAACGGTCGATGACATTGTATTGTTAAGAGATTTTAGAAAAGAATAATGACTTTCAGCGATGCAATTGATTTACATAAAAAAACTAAAAGAATTATTAAAGAGTTCTCAAAATTTTCGTGAATTCATCCATTCGCTTTAACGTCAGCTTTCCCGATATCAGACTTCTTTCCTACTTACTATTTTCCCTGTGCTTTCAGTGCTTTCGATCTGAAATTTTTTAAAAGTGTTTGTTTCACAACTCTCTCATTGGATTATTTTCTTATTAGTGTCCAAAATGTGGTAATAATGGTCAATGTTTTGGACCAAATATTTGTTGTTCAAGTTACGGTGGTTGTCGAATAAATCATCCTGCTGATATTAAACAATGTTCATCTGAAGATTTAAGCCCTCTGCCATGTAATATCAATAGTTTAACATGTTTCACTGTAAATGGTGGTCATTGTACAGAAAACGGTGTTTGTTGTAATGCAGGTTTGTTTCACACAAAAAATGAATTTCTTCGATTGAGCTTTTTTAATTTTTTTTTCTCTTAGAATCATGCCATGTTGATGATACATGTCATAAACAATTAATTGACAATCAACAAGCTCCTATATGGTGATATAAATGAAAAACCATTAATTTATTATTGTAGGCAGATATTGATTTATAATAAATAGAAGAATTTTAAAAGTTGTGCATAAGAAAAAAATGAGGTTTTCCACTACAGCTGGTATATATTCTGTAATTGCTTTTTTTTACCGTACTAAATTAGTTTTGTCTCTTTTTGATTTGAGACTTGATTTTTGAGAGGAGACTATGTTAGTGCTACATTTTCATATTTGAAACAGTCGTAAACAGAATGTTGTTTACACTGTCTGCTTTATTATTCTAAAACAAATGTAAAAAAATACTGCACCATCAGCACAACAAGAGTTTTCTCTTACTATTAGAGAAAAATAGCATCAAGAAAAGCTAGAAAAATGTAACGTAAAAACAGAAACAAAATCAAGTAAGTTAATAATAACGACAACCATATCAATATGAAGAAAAAAATAAAGTTCATGCAGAATAGCGAAAAAGTGTTTCTTCGTATTCAGCACATTCGATAAAGAATTTCGCACGTGTTTTACCAAGATTTTGAGTCAAGGTCTTGGTCACAAGAAGTTTCACTAGTATAGAATATTTGTCATTTGTCAACGTAGAGGCATAAGGTCGATGTCGAATATATTATACAATGGCTAGATACACACAAATTCAATTGTTCTTGGTAAATAATTCCAAGATAATTGATTGCTAAACAAACGAAAAAATTGTTCAAATCTCTTCTTTTCTCAAAATGAAATTGGCATTGACTACTTGTTCAGCAATATTGTTAGTTTCAATAAATATCGATTGATAGCAGTACCATAGCCGAGGGACGGAGAGAACACCGGATTATGTCCTCCACTTTGGAATCGAAATTTACACTAACTTTTATGCACTAAAAAAGGTTAGCAAAGAAAAACATGCTTTTTCTATTGTTTTCACATGAATAATAAATCAGCATAGCATCAAAACCTTTAGCTACCAAATTATCGAGACTTATCTGAATTGCTAACTAAATAGTCGCAATGTCTGACAGTATGCTGAGACTACGCGCATCTTCAAAACCGGTATCGCGAACAGGTCTATTTTACGCTGTTTAACTGAAGCCGTTTTGCGATAAAAAAACATAACAGTCAGTTTACGGCCTTTTTATCACACTGTTTTTGCAAACTTAGTATTAACATATTTTCTCAAAAATCCGTTTTCTGTTGCACTTATTAGGTCTCTGAATCGATTTTGAGCGACAGTATTCTTTTTTTTACAAAATCTGATTTTGCCAACGTATCTACTCATATACTACAATAAAAGAAATTGTAGACAAAATTTGTAGCAGGAATTTGGTCACAACGTTTCTACACACATAAACTCTGCTTTACTTCACATCTACTCCGAATTTGCTAAAATTCATCACAAAATCTGGCACAGATCTATACTAGTCAGTTTGCGGACTAGCTTGGCGGCCAGCCTTTAGCGTAGCGATATCTGTCTTTTCCAAATTCTTTTCCAGTCTTGGTAACTTCACAAAATCATAGGTTAGTTGAAATATTCTCTGCCTCAGCTGTTTTTTGAAGGTGTATTATAGACTAAAACGGCGACATAAGTGATAGAATTCAAAAGCGTTTTATATTATTTATCGAGTTTCCATTGGATGTCTATATTATATCGAGTATGATCTGTTATATACAGAAATCAAAAAAATCAAAAAGGTAAAGACTTCATTCGGTTGTGATTGTTCACATACTCTTTTCAGTTTAGAAAAGTTAATACCACGCTGAAACTTCAAGATTATTTCACACTTGTCTACAGCTAGATACTGGTGACGTTTCATTAAAATCTGAGATGAAATCCTACATATTCCATGCAAATTAATCTAACTTTATTTTATGCAGTTAGAAAGCGGAGTATTTCTACGGATTGAGTATACCCAGCACACAGAATCAATCAAACGAACCATTTCCAATATGATAATAAAATTGAATAACGATAAAATTAATTATATTAATTCCACAATCGTTTTTCTTTAACCTAGAGATAAATAAAAACAAATTTTTTTTTAAAGTTAATATTCTCTTCAACGTACAATCTATCCAGTCTTAGAGTAGTTTAAATTCCTACAAATTCAAACACTTTATAACAGAGCTTTTTTCGCCAGGAAAAAGATGCAAATGCTTGTTTTCATGCCAAAGACTCATTTTACTTTATCTATCCTATTGCACCGAATTATTTTACTTTCACGTTCATTGTAGATCTTCTATGGCTAGCAACAACCAAAATTCTCGTCTTCATTCTTCTGGCAGCAATCATTGCCGAAATAATACTGATCGTCGTTATTCTGATTTGTTTTCGGGATTTTCTTCTTCGTCACGAAATGGTCGTTTTCATCAGGATACAACCAGCGGACGTGCGCATCATCAAACACGAAATATGAATGACAATTCTTTTAGGTATCCGTCATCGACGGCATTTCCTCATCCAAGTTATCCCTGGACAATAGAAAATAACAATTCTCACAGTTCTACTCATCAACATCGATCAAATGAACAGCCTTTGTTCAGCCATGATTCATTACATCGTTCATCATATCCACTACCAAACAGAAATGATTCAAACGAGCAAATTCGATTGATGCCAAATTTTGGTTCAAATCATTGTCAAAGTGTAAATAAGTTTAACAACATCAGTCAGAATGATTATCATTGTTCGTATTCTCAACATCACAATCAATCATTTCATCAACAACAAAAGACTAATAACAACAATAGTCGACAAGAATATGAGAATGATTTGTTCCCCATTGGAGAACAATCACATCAAAGCACGAAACGTCGACGAACATCAAATCAAAGTCGGCTACAAGCGTCAACACTTTCTTCCTCAACACCACCATTACAACATGATCATAAACGTTTAAGGTCGATACAAGAAAATGATGCATATGTACGACAAAATTATGTTCAACATCAAACAAGGTACGTTAGTTTAGGGATCATGTAGGCGGTAAATGTTATTTAGGTGTCTTGAGGAAAACACTATCAATGCAAGAAGCTTTTACGTTTTTACGAATTAAAGAATCTAAAATCCATTTAGATTTATAATGTTTCTGTTTAATATGTTTTAGCAATGAAGGGATAAATGACTTGACATTTCAACATTCAAATGCCTCAAGTTATCGTCCATTTTCAAATGATTCTGAGGAACAATATCAACGATATTATCGTCAACACCTAGAAAATTCATGGATGCGCTCGATTCAGACACAAGCACATCCACAACCACAAAGACCGGCAACATCAATATATAATGATTGGCATAGTCCTCATGATATTTCAACACGAGCAGCATCATATCAAAATCGTTCTCGACCTCAGATACATTCACTACAAGCACAACCACAATTGACTCATGAACAACATCCTCATCAACACTCAGAACATCATCACCCGCGACGACGTTCTTATCATCACCATCGTCATCATCATTTATCAACAAGACGACATGAAGACGAAAATCAACGCCGACAGATGAGAGGAAGATTAAATTTTTCAAATGATCTTATAAGGTAACAGTTTCGTTTATCATTTTTTACTTTAAAATACTTTTAATGTTTGCGTTATAGATCAATCGTACCCCAATTGTTTAATGGACATGAGACATTAACTGATGAATTGATGATGGAACTTGTAAGTATTTTTAATCATCTCTATTTTCTCTCAACTGAGTTTTATATTTCAAGAAAGAAAACAGATAAGATATTTATTTTGCGTAATTTTGTTATCTTCTTTAGCTTGCAGTAACATCGCCCAATGATCATTATCATATCTTGTATCCAGCTACAGTGACAATTGAAATATCAGTATGTATGTTGAACTGAATAAAAGAGCGACATTTGACGTTGTTTGCGTTATAGGAAATAATCAGTTATGTCGTTCCAGAAGATGTTAGCGTTGGTCTTGATAAAACCATGATTGATGCATTACCAATTGTTGTTTATTCAAAACCATCACATTGTAGTGGAGATGAGAATGTTGATAAATGTGCAGTGTGTTTAACAAGTACGTTTTATTTTTTCAAACAGTTTCAAGTTCAACAGAAATACTCACATCTTACTAACTAAATCATGACATTAATTCATTTCAGTATTCGACAATGGTGAACATCTAAAAATGTTAAGTTGTAAACATTTATATCATGGCCAGTGTATCGATCCGTGGTTACAGGTATGTTACACAATGAACTGATTGTTTGGCAATTGCTCTATTGTTTTTGTCATAGTCGCTTTTATGATCGTTTCTTGTTTTATTTTAGTCAAACAGTTCTTGTCCAATATGTCGACATGATTTACGCGAACAAATGTCAGATTGAGTGTTTTTGTGTATGTTTCTACATTTAATACTGAAGATATTTTTTTCTATGTTCATTTTTACCTTTTTATTTTATTCATCAACATTTGCATTTTTTATTGGTATTATTATTATTAGAGAGAAAGTGTTTTTTTCATGTTTTATTCTTATACAAAAAATGTAATACGGGCGATTTCTTTTTATGCACATTATTATATCATTAAGCAACAATTAATCCATCCTATTTGGTTGTCGATTAAATCATATATTTTTGTTTTTGGTGTTAAAAAATCAGATAAATTTTGTTATATACACATGTATGCTACACATTCCGTTTGTTAGATGAATTTCTATACTTTTTCTTGTTATTTATTGTTTATGTTAGTGTTGCTGATTGAAAGTAGAAGAAAGAGAAACAGATTTGTTCATTTTTCAAACTTTATGTGAACAAAAATTAATTTCATCTCTTTTTTTATGTTAATGTATATTCATGAGAGTTCAAACAAATTCATATTACTTTTTTACCTATAGAAAAAAAATATATATCTATCTATACATTTAGAAACAAACGAAATTTTAACGACAATTTAATGGGGACAATAGGAAGACGTCAAACAGAGAGATACATTTAAGAACATTTTTTGTGTGCTTTCGACTCGTCCATGAGTTATATAAAGCAAAAAATAAAACAATTTTTTAAGTAACTTATTATCATGCTATTTTGGCTGATTTTGTACCAATATTGTTCCCCTTTCTGCTTCATTCAGAATATTAATCTTCTAAATGAGATCTCGTCTCAGTAATGTCTCTTGTATTTCACGTTGGCGTACACTTTACCGACTTTTGTAAATCCATCATCTTTCACCTGTTTCCGAAAATTTTGTCAAATTGTTTTATGTTTTTTGCCACGTGATTTCACGTTCACGATGTAAAGGATCTTTGTTCATTTATGACAGTACACAAAAAATTTATTATCAAAATAACTAAAAACTTAATTCAACATTTCTTTTCTCTCATTAATGAAATGAAAATACTGTTTTGTTGTTGTTGTTAATGATCATCACTGTTCTACTGTTGGCGTTGTTTCTCTTTGAATATCGCTTGTTTTACTGTTCTTTCTGGATAATCATTATTTATTAATTTTGTTTTTAAATAACCTAATTCATTGTTAAATAATCCTTGGATCAAGTAAATTCTTATTGATCTAATTACTAATGTCTGTTACTAGTCCTATTTTTTATATTTAGGTAAGCAAGCATGAATGTATGACCGAATCTGGAAAACTCCAAAACACCGAGAGTAAAAATGCAGAATGCATAAGATCGAAAGAAGAATGTCGAATACCTGAAATGTAGAAAATGCAGAATGTTGAACGATGAAAACAATGGAAATGTGAGTTTTGGAATTGGACTTGTATCCGCAAAAAAGAAAGAATTCTGTTTCGCAGAACTATGAG